GAGAGGGAACGGCCTCAAGCTGTGCCAGGGGAGGGTCAGGCTGGAGTTTGGGGGAAATTTCTTCATGGAAGGGGTTGTTGGGCCTTGGAAGGGGCTGCCCAGGGAGGTTTGGAGTCCCCCCCATCCCTGGAGGTGTCCAAGGAAGGCCTGGACGTGGCACTCGGGGCTCTGGGCTGGGGGACAGGGTGGGCATCGGGCACAGGGGGGACTCGGTGATCCTGGAGGGCTTTTCCAACCTAAATGATCCTGGGATTCTGTGATCAGAGAGGAATTCTGTTCCCAGCAGGCCTCCCTCCCTTCCCTGGGGGTGCTCCTCTCTTCCCTCAGAGCTTTACAGATTCCTCAAGGAATCCTCGAAGCTGCTTTTATGGCCCGAGCTTTGTGTTTCTTTCCTTGCTGTTTTGCTGTTCCTGTTGCTGGGAGTTATTGCCAGTCCTTAAGTAATTTAATAAACACTTCAGATTTTATGGTGCAGGGAGGTGTGGAGAGACCTTTAACGACATCATTAATTCTCACCCAGCTTTCAACATTTTACCAGCGAAGCAAAAACCAAACCTTTTCAAACAAGAACCAAAAACGCCCCAAAAGGCACCTCCCAGAAATATTTAACTCCTGGCAGGTTTATGGAAGAATTAAATGCAATTCCAGGGATCTGCTGATGTTTCATGTGGCTAATCAGGGAAGGGAATGCACGTGAAGTGGCACAGCCTGGGGTCTGCAGGGCTGCTGCTGCTGCTGCTGCCAGATTCCCCCAGAAAGCTGAGGAATGACATTACAGCCAGTGGAAAACACATTAAAGATTTACAGGATGCTGAGCACACTGGGGTGAGGGAAGAGCATCCCCTCATGACAGACAGGAGCTGCAAAAACAACCCCAGCTCTCTCGTCTGGCCCTGGAAGGAGCTCACAAAGAAATAAGAATTAAAGCTCTTCCTCGTCCAGGGCTCCTCTGGTGCATTTACTGGAAAATGAGCCAGAGCTTTAACTTGCAACCCTTGATCCTAAAGTGAAAGGATGGTTTCTGCCCACCAGGCACCCAGAAAGAATGGGAATGCCAGCTGCCCATGGCCTGGGGAACAAATACAGGCAGTAAAATGTGTTTTCAGCAGGGACAATAAACGGCCAACAGCTCATTAACAGAAGCACCTCACCGAGCCTGACCTGCTGAGGTGAGAGGGAATCTCATTAGAGGATGATTCTCTCTTAAGCCATTTATCCAGGGTTTTACCTCTCCAGAAACCTCAGACCTAATTTCAGGCTCTGAGCAGTCACGACACGAGGACAGGACGGGAGTGTCATAAAAATGAGAAACTGCAGCGATGGCTGAGCCAGATCCCAGGGAGAATCACCTCAAGAGACTGAGCCTCGCTGGTTTATTATTTCTCAGACTCCTCAAGAGCAGCAAAGAACCCTCCAAGCCTCTCAGGGCAGATTCTGGCTGACTCTGCTCCAGCTAATGAGCTCTGTCATCCCTGCTCAGCAGAGGGACTGGGGTTCTGGTGCCTTCTCCCAACTCCCTCAGCTGACTGGGGAGAGGTTCCTCATGCTCCTGCTGGAACCTCCTGCCCCCCAAGCAGCACTTGGGGGGCCTCTGCAGCTTCAGAGGGACAGGCTGGAGTGCTTGTGAGGAGCCTGAAAACAAAAAGGGCTGGAAGGAGCGGGAGAACAAACCTCACTCACCAGAAAGGGTAAATGCCCAACCGTGTCACGATGAACACGACCCCGAAGAGCATGAAGAAAGCATCACACACCCGCTGGTACTTGGCATAGTTGGCCAGCTTTGCAGCCTAAAAGAGGCAAGGAACACAGGAATATTATTCCCTTTGTGCACCCCTGGAAGTACCAGGCTGGAGAGCTTCGAAAAACTCTCAGCCACATTCGCACGGTTTGGAACAATTAGGGATTATTATAGTGTGTAATTATTATTGTTATTTATTATTATATAGGATCTTATGGGGAGAGATTATTTACAAGGGCCTGGAGTGACAGGGCAAGGGGGAATGGCTTCCCACTGACAGAGGGAAGATGGATATTGGGAAGGAATTCCTCCCTGTGAGGGTGGCGAGACCCTGGAATGGATTTCCCAGAGAAGCTGTGGCTGCCCCATCCCTGCAGGTGTCCAGTGCCAGGTTGGACAGGGCTTGGAGCAGCCCAGCCTGGTGGAACTGGACGATCTCTGAGGTTCCTCCCCACCCAAACCACTCCAGAATTCTGTGATCCTCAGCACTGAGGCAGCCAGGAGGAACAGCTGGCAGGGCGGGAGCAGCAGCGCAGGTTTCACGGCATTTCCTGATAAATTTAACTCCATTTATCGGGAATGGGGGGAATGTGGGAACGTCAGCCTGTCCCCCTGGGATCACAGCAGCACTGGGGGTGCAGAGCTTTGACAGGGAACTCACCTCTAGGAGGAAATCTGAGGCATCGTGGAGACACAGCACCAGGGTCCCGACCCGCACCATGTTGTTCATGTAGGAGAAGGTGATGAGTCCAATCGTGGCCAAGTGATGGACAAACATGATCAGGAAGTCCTGGAAACAGGGAAGGGGGGGAAAAAAAACAAAGGTAAAGACCCTTTGGCTGTCGAAAAAAAATCCACAAAGGTTTGGGACAGAGCCACCAAAGTGGGGTCAGGGGGTTGCTTCAGCCCGGGCTCTGACTCCACCTCATCACACACCCACCGTCACCACGGAGGATTCCAGAAAGGTCTCTCAGCTCTGGTGCTCCTGCAGGCACAGGGAGCACACCCCCCCAGCCTGCAGAGCCCTCAGAAGTGACTGACAGGACACCACATGGCCCCTGTTTTTGGCTCCCTTTGGTCTGACACCACTCGTGCTCTCAGCTCCTGGCACAGATTTCAGCGCTGCTGCTGCTGCCAGTGATCAAACCCTGCCAGGGGCAGAGCGGGCACAGAGCACCAGATAACCCAGAAGGAGGCCTCTTCATCACAAAAAACCCCTCCAATGCCCAATATCCAGGGCTGTTCTCCAGCTCAGCCCCCAGGTACAACCCTCCCGTGGCCCTGGGCCTCCCCCTGCTGCAGTGGGGGACGTGAGGAGCTCGTTAAAGTCAAAATTAAACATTATAAACCCCGTCCCAGAGGCTCTTCATCACTCCCTGTCTGCAGCTCCACCAGATCCCCCAGGGCCTCACCTGCCAATGTTTCAGCACTGACAATAATCCCAGGCAAACCTGGGGGTTTTTTTGGTTTGTTTTTTTTTTTTTTGAACAGCCAAAGCGAGAATTGGGATAATTTGCTGCTTTGCAGCTCGGGGGACAGGAGAAACAAAACCCCCTGATTTACTGGGGTAAACAAGGAGCCAAACCCCGGAACAGAATTAGATCCCAGCAACTGTGACCACTCGTCACCTGCTCCACACACAGAGATGAAAAATCACCCTCCAAAAACCCCATTTATTATCGGGGTTTGCCATTTGCTCAGCAGCTCTGGGGGGCAGCTCATTTCCTTAGTTAAATGTATTTTCAGGCAGCTGGTTTTGTCAACTTTTGACTGGGAGGCACTGGGTGATCCTGTCCTTTCCCCCTGCAAGGTGAGAGGGACTCGAGGACCCACCAGGCTGCAGGTCAGGCTTGTTCCTCCCTTTTTTTTTTCCCCCCAGGATTGGGTGGTGATTACAACAGGAGGGAGGCCCACAAAGGTGTGAAACGAGGAAGAAAAGAGTTATTATAATGATTTAGCTCTGTTCACATTTTTTTTGTTAGTCCTATCTCTTGCTGTTGCCACCACTGTTAATTATTATTTTGGCTGTTAAGCAGTTAATTCGATTTTGGGTTCGTCTCACCTTCCGTTTAATGTCTGTAAACTGAGAAAACATGAGGGACCAGTAGAAGGCCAGCTCCAAGATATAGTAATAATAAAGCCTGGATGTTAGAGGCTGCAACGCAGAGACAGCACAGTTAGAAGGCAAAACACACCCGAAAATTTACATTAAAATCACTTTTTTTTCCCCCCTTTCCTCCTCTCCCATCCCACTCCAGGATTGCTGAAGTTAAATGATTAAAGGTTTAGTGACAACAAGCTTTAAGCAACAGAGGTCTCGCTCCAGGCTTTACTCACACAACCACATTTGTGTGTTGGAGCTTTGTTCCAGAGGAGTAAATTCCCCCTGTCAATATTTACAACCCCTGGAGCAGGAACAGACTGGTTGGCCTCTACACAGCAAATAAATAAATAAATCACCACCACGATTTTTATCCCTTTTTTTTTCCCCCTCCACCCCCCCAACACTTTTAATAATCTCAGCAGCAAATAAACGTAAAATGAATGAGTCGGTTGTGTCTGAGGAAACTCTGCTGGCTGCCAAACCCAACCAGGATGTAAAGACATAAATGTCAGGGCTCCGAGCCAGCACCTTAACAAAAAAAAAATAATAAAACCTGACACTGTCCAAAAAAAGCTGGAATTTAGGAAGGGTTTCCTCTCCTTACCTGGAAAGGGTAGTTGTACCAGCACTGTCGTGTGTCCCAAAACCAGGGGGCCTGAAGGGAAAGGGGAGTTATTACAGAAATAATTTATATATAAATTATATAAACCCCCCCCAGTTTTTAACTCCCCATCACCCAAAGAAATTTTATCTCACTGAAATTTTATCTTGATTCTGCCGTTTACATTTATTGTATTAAATGTAATTTAATTTATTTATTGTAAATAATTTATTTATTTATTTATTATTATATAAATTATTTAAATTTATATTATATACAGTAAATTTAAATTATATAAATTATTATATAAATTATTTATTATTATAATAATGAATAATTATAATTATTATAATAATATAATATATAATAAATAATAATATAATAAATTATTATAAATAATTTATTTATTGTAAATAAATAAACTGTAAATATTGTGAATATTTAATTTACTGTATTAAATATTTATTCTTATAGCTACATTTATTGCATTAAAACCTTCTTTTTTTTTTGCAGTCAAACAGGAGTTAGACTGCAATGGAAATTCCAGGAATAATCATACAGCTCTAATAATGATAATAAAGAACCCAAAGAGATGAACCCTTCAAGAAGGAGAGGAGAAAAAATGAAGCAGCTCCCCCATAGCAAAAAAGAAAAAAACCCCACCCAGTTTTGTCCCATTCTGGGGTAACAGGAAAAGTAATTTTCTATTTTCTACAATTTTCTGTTATGACAAATCTGTATGGAAGCTTCCCTGTAAAGGGGGTCCTCAACAGAAAATCAGGGAGCACAAAGATCACTAAATCCCCCCCTCCTTCCAAGCCAGGTGAAAGCACCAGAGGAGAGACAGTGGTGGTGAAAACCCCCCTAAATTTTGGCAGGACAGACCAAAACCCAGCTGCAGCCACCCAGAACAGACCCAACTCACCGTCCAGAGAAACCTGATTCCATAAAAAAATATGCTTAAATAAAATGTAAATCTCCACCTGGAAAAAAAAAAAAGAAGTGGAAAAAAATCAGCTTGGGACAGAGAAGCAGCTTCTGGGTCAACAAATGTCACAAAAAAAGCGAGGTAACGGTGAAAAACCCCAATTCTGGCACCTCAAAAGCTTTCACTCACCTTCATTCCCAAACATTTCGGGTCAGATAAACCCATTTAAGGGTTTTTTCACACCACACACGAGTTGGCATCAACAGCCCAGTTTGAAGTTCAGGGTGAACGTGCACCATTCATGTGCTTTTACAGACAGCAAGATAACAACAAGCAAAGTCACTGTTACCCAGAGTGATCCTAAAATAGAGAGATTTTTGTCCTGGGGGCTTTAAGCAGACAAAAACCACACTGGGGGAAGAATTAATGAGAAGAAAGTTACTGGAAAGAAACCAGCAGAGGAGAAGTGAGTCAGGAGAAGGTGACTGAGGTGCTGCTCCCCCAGCAGAGGTGAGTGCAGGAGCTCAGGGGAGGGAGAGAGAACAAAGGATGAGGAGAAGAGGGAGCCAAGAAGTGGCTGCAGCAAAGTCTGTACGTGGTGTGAGCCAGAAGGTCACCGTGGCTGGGAACGAGCCCTGCAGCTGGGCAGGCAGCAGGCCACTTTTTGGGGAGGTCTCCACTCAGTTTGGGCGCGTGCAGACACCCCCTGAGCCCAGCCAGGGGCCACCAAGGACCTGCCCCACCGTCTGAAGCTGCTCCTTGGCGGCAGGACTGAGCCCCGGGCTCGTGTGCTGGGCCCTCAGCCCCCCGGTATTGGAGGAGCTGAGGATTTTAGGAAGCCCTTCCTTTGCTTGGAGGAGAATTCAGGGCCTGGTTTGGCCGAGCAGCTGCCCCAGGGGTTGGTCAGAGAGGAGGGGCCCCTCCCAGACGTACATGCTCTCACAGAACTTGGTGAGGGTGGTGGGTTTGTCCTGGTTCCTCCGGTGGCGGAACCAGCGCTGGATCTTCCTCACGTCCCAGTCCAGCTGCTTGGACAGGCCTTCCAACCTCTTTGCATCTGGAGACTGGAGGAGAACCAAACAAGGGGGGGGTCACTTCTCCCGCTCCCCCCCAACAGAAATGATGCACAGGTACAAAAAAACCACACCAGGAATGGACTAAAAGAGAGCCCAAAAGCAGGAACCCGTCGCCACAAACGTTCGCTCAGCTTTGACCTTCGTAAGCCACTAATTATTTAATTATTCAGCACGGCTTTGGTGGAACATTTCCTCACCTATATTTCATCAGCTGAGCAAGGATGCCTTAATTCTGGGGGAGGGAGGAGCTGTTAAAGTGTCCTGTCCTACCTGTTGAAGCTGCACCTCCATTCAAACAGCCCAGAACTCGGGGAGCTCAAAGCTGGAGAAGAAGTTTAGGGGGTTCCTGCTCACAGCAAGGACAGGGAAACTTCAAAGCAAGAGCTGGTTTAGCACAGCAGATGTCTGTGTGTTCTAAAGGGCATGGGCAGAAATTGTGTTATTTCTGTTATCAAAGTTCATAAGTGGAAATAAATGTGAAGACTGAAATAGTTCTGTGATAAAGAACACGGCGCTGTTCTCTGGCTGCAAACTCTCCTGGGAGTTTGTCTGAGTGAAGACAAATGGATTTATCAGAGACAAAGTGAACCAAACCTGGCAACTCCCTCTCCAGTGGCCCAGGGGGGAGATAATTCAGAGCAGAGTCCTTTCAACCAGCTCTGCCAGGGAGCTCTTACCCCTGACAGATGATAAACACATTTCACTGCTTGAGTTACACACACACCCCAAAATCAGGGTGCTGATTTAACACACAGTCACCAGCCTGCCCAGCTGAGAGGCAAAGGCATCTGTAATGTGATTTTCTGTGCCCTGTCAGCCCCTCACAACCAGACCCCCCAGCACTTTACTGGGATTTAGTGGTCGGGGCTGACACTGCACTGGAAGGGAACCTGTGTCCAAGGAGGATTCCAGAGCAGCAGTGAAATCCTCTCCCTGCTCCAGTGCCACCCCTCCAGCCCCAGCAGCTCCCTGGGACAGCCACAGGCAGCTCTGGTTTCACAGCAGATAAATTCTGCACAGCCTGTGACCTCCTGGGCTTTCTAAACATTCATTTCAAGGACATCCCCTGCATTAAAATCCTCCCCACAACCAGCAGCAGATCCTGGGGACTGCAAACCTCCCTCAGGACTTTAATGTTCCCACAGGGACACTTTTTAGTGAGGTTTTTTTTTATTGAATTCCCCTTTATCTGCTCCAGGAGACGAGGTTCAGCATCCCCCAAATCTCAGCATCAAACCTTCCACTCCTTTATCTGTAATGAAAAATCTCTCTCTCTCGCTGCCTGCGCGGATTTCACCGTCAATACTGAATAAAACATCCAATAAATAAATACTGAATAAAGCTCTGGAGCGATGGAGCCCTGAGAGCTCAAGGGAAGGAAAGGAAACAATCCCAAGAAACACCTCCTGCCACCAGTAAATGTCCTGCCCTTCATCTGACTGAACACTTCCCTGAATAACCCACTTGCACTGACAGCTGCTGCCCAATTCCACAGGAAATGGCACAAATAAGGGGAAGGCACTCACAACAAAACCAATAAAAGCAGCAAAGGAACAAAGTCCAAGGAGAAGAGAAGCTCTTTCCCAGTGGAAGACGCTGGGAAATCTCTTGTTAAGCTCCTGTCACAGGAGCCACAACCTGGAGCAAAGGCAGGAACTGAAGGACCTGCCTGCAGAGGGGAACGTTTTTACTCAAAAGCAGGTTTTCCTGGGCAGAAAACCACGGCTCAGCCACGAAGGGAATCCACTTTGCCCCCACTTGGACGCACCAGAGGCAAAGCAAAGGCAGAAGGAGCCCACTGGGGAGTGCACAGAGGGAGATGTTCCCCTCACACCACAAGAGTGGAAGCAGAAAACCCTCCCCTTCCCCAAATCCTTCCCTGCAGGCCTCCATTCCCAGCAGGAGTTGACCCCTGACTCACCTTGGTGATGGATGTAAACACTTTCTCTAGGATTGCATTGGGCTGGGCTCTGTGAGGTCCACTGTCCTGGATGCCAAGGTTTATGGCACAGGGCTTGGCAATAAACCTGCAAGAGTTCCCAGGGAAAGAGCTGCGTTAAAAAAAACAGGATTTTTATTTCCCTCCTCTGCCTGAATCACAAAAAAAAACCAAACCCCAGATTTGCCACCAGCTGCAGAACCTGGGGGAACCTCCACCTCCTGGAATCTCCACTTGCTTTGCTTCAGGAAACTTCCCGTGTGAAGTAATTTCTTTTCTTAGCCCTGCTGGTAATCACAGGCAGCACGTTCTGTGCACATCAGAGGGGAGGATTAAAATCTCAGTGTCCTTGGCCTGCAAGGATCCCATTGTGTTCCCCAGGGGGATCCTCATTCCTCACAACTCAAACATCAGATCACTGGGAAGAGTCTGCTGTGAGCAGAAATGCTGCAGATGAAGCCCTAAAAACAAAATACTTTTATTTTCAGAGCAGGCCTCGGTGTCACAGGAAAAAAAGGGAAGTTCAAGCGAGACAGTTCCCAAAAGATGCTTTTTTTGTGTGAGTTTTTTTTTTTTTGTCTTTGGGGAGAATAAAGTGGCTTCTTTCCTTCAGGAGAGGAAGATGCAAGTCCCCCCCAGCCTGAAAGGCTCAAGGTGTCAGGATCTCACTCCATCCCGGGTGCTCCACGTGTTCCAAAAGCTGATTTAACTCTCCCTGAATTTTACAGCCACAGAGACTCTGAAACCAAGCCCGGGTTTGCAACCAAACCAAGCACAAACATGTTCAAAATTGCCAGGTTTTGCTGCACTTTTGTGTCAAAAACGGGCTCAGGGTTCCAAGGGAAATGCCTGTGTTACCTGATATGGGAATTGCTGCCCCTCCTGCTGGTGGCCAAGGAGCAATATTTAGTATTTTTAAATCAATTATTTCGAGAAAGAACCCGTTGCTCACAACCTTCCTTGGACACCTGCAGGGATGGGGACTCCAAACCTCCCTGGGCAGCCCCTTCCAAGGCCTGACCCCCCTTTCCCAGGAGGAAATTCCTGCTGATGTCCAACCTAAACCTCCCATCCCCTACCTGGCTCCCCCCTCTCCCTGTCAGGAGAGCGAGAATCTCCCCCCTGAGCCTCCTTTTCTCCAGGTTGAGCCCCTCCCAGGAGTTCTGCACCCCCTTCCCCAGCATCCATTCCCTCCTCTGGACACTCTGAGCTTCATTCTGACAGTCACAGCTTTAAAAAATAATTAAAACACGAAAAAGGAAGGAGTGATTTCCTCCGAGCTCGGCTCCAAGGGCTCCCGGCTTCCGCCCCGACCCGGACCCCCAGCCAGAAACTGTGTCCTGGGGTTATGAAACACTTGGCAAGACCCCCCCAAAAATGCACAAAAAAAGGGTATTTAAAAGGTCTTTCTGCTCTGCTTTCCTCCAGGACAGCACAGAGAAGTTCACATGTGCAATCACGGGACGACAAAAAGAGTTTTGGTTCATTTTCGTGGTGCTTAAACAGCTCTATTAATAAAATAAAAAAACAACAACAAAACAAGCCCTTCACCTGGCCTGAAAATACTCAGTTTGTGCCAGTTGTGCCTCCTGTCAGAGAGGAAACCTGGAAAAATCTAAAAATCTGCACGTTCACAGAATTATGGAATAGCTGAGGTTTGAAGGGATCTCTGGACAGCACCTACTCCAACCCCAGCCCACGGCAGAGGTACCTGGAGCTGCTTAATTCGATTTCTTTGTTACTCAGGAGAGTCTTCCTTTAGTTTAAGAACAAGTGAAGAGGAGGAGGAATGGTTAGGAAGGCTCACAGTGACCCGCACAAAGTTTGGGCTTTACTGCAGAGTGCAAAGCCTGAAGCACCAAGCAAAGAAAAACCAGGAAAAAAAATGCAGAAATAATTCGTTTTAGGACTTAAAAGATGGAAAAGGAAAAGGGGGGAAAAAAAAAAAAAGCCGAGCAAAAGTCCAAACTTTGCAGGAAACTGGCCCTGAGCAGGAGGCCTCCTCCACTGGGAATGTGAGGGAAAAACAGGGATTGTGCCTCCAGAAATCAGGAAGGAGGGAAAAGAAAAAGGCAAGAGGAAGGCACAGGCCGTGGGTGCAGCTCAGGGCTCAGGGAGGGGGGGGACAAAGAGCAGATCAAGAATCTCCAGATCTCTCCAGGGGCCCAGAAAGCAGCCCCTGGAAGCAGGAGGTGGTGCCAGTCCCAGAAACGGGAAGGAAAAGGGATGGCACGGAGGATTTCCTCACTTTTAGGGAAGTCTGACCCGGCCCTGAGGGAGCTTCTCTAATTCCTCAGCTCCTGGCTCCGTGCAAGTGCCACCTGTCCTTCCCTGGGGCTCCTGAGGGAGGAGAATTCCCCTGGGAAAAGGAAAAGAGCTCCCACTGCTGATTCCATCCATGATCCAAGAGCCTGGCAGGTGGAACACGAAGGGAATGGTCAGTCCTGTGCTCAATCCCAAGCTATCCAGGGATTTAGGTGTCCACCAAGGACTTAAACCCTCGGTGGCATTTCAGGTTTTTGGCCCCAGAACAGGTTTTGCAGCAGATCCCACACTGAGAAGGTTCTGCACAGCACCAGGAAAAAAAAAAAGGGGGAAAAACACTTCCCAGACAGCAGAATTCCCACTCCTGGGGATATTCAAACTGAACAGCACAAGATGAGGGGAGAGACACCAGTTGCCTGAAGGTTGGCCTTGCTTTGAGGAGGAGATGTGGATGAGCCGACCTTGAAAGGTCCTTTTTTTAATCTAAATGGTTTTATGATTCCATAAAACCTTAATGGCAGCAAACTCTGCCCAAGGCCAGCTCGCTGCCACTCCTTCCAGCAAGAAATTCCCATCACATGGACACTTCCATCACACCTTTATGGCCAGGGATCAGCTTACACTCTTTTTCACACCAGTTGTTCAAGACCCACGGACTCGGGTGTTGTGTAACAAACCTTGTGCTTCCCAAAAAGGCAGAAGTTCTACCCAAAAATCCTCCCTGCCACCGAGTCAGGGCTTTACCTTTTTCTCTCCCAAGTCCTGCTTTATCTCTGCAGTCCCAAACTGCCCACAGAACAGCCAAACTAATGATTTTTTCACCAATAAAACGGTGCAAAGGTTCATTTACAGGAGAATTCACTGGGCCACAAGTGTCGTGGCACAAAGCTCTTCCTCACACTGAGGAGCCACGGCAGAAGGAGGGGGAGAGAGAAGATGCAGCTAAACCAAAAGAGCTGCACGAGTCTATAATTCAAATTCTGAGTCATCAAGTCCAGCTGCCAAATGTGTGCCAAGGAAGGCTTTTGACACAATCGAAGCCTGAAGTGGGATCGATGCACCCCAGGGGTTTATTCGGACAAAGCTGAACTTTTAGGACACTGCTCAAAGTGGCAGGAGGGAACAAAGGGGAGTTCATTCAAAAATAAGGACTTTTTAAAACAGACCCCCTGGAAACTGCCCCCGGGGTTTTGCTGCCACGACGTGATTTCACTCCGGGATACCACTGAGACACTGCTGAGAACCGGAACAGCTCTCTCAGGAACCACACCAAGGGCCCTGGGCCTCGCTGGGCCAAGAGCAGGATTTAATTTGGCGTCTGACCCCTCCCTAAATCAGCACCAAAACCGGAATTTCACAAACCAGGGAGGGCTTTATCAGGGCAAAGCAGTGGCTACCTGGTGTGGAAGGATGCACTGAACCTCTCCCAGGGAGAAGAGAATCTCCTGCACCTCCTCCCCAGACTGACACCTGCACTAAGGCTTGGAAAGGAGGGGACCTGCCTACAAAACCCCTCTCCACCTGCCTACAAAACCCCTCTCCAGGGGA